CAGTAAGCTTATAATAGGTTGGTGGTTCTACCTGGTTGCAAGCTTGTGTCAGTAAAGCTTGAGAGTGGCAATACGACCTTGTTTGGATACTCTTTAAATGAAGGGACTAAACAATGAATTTGGAGTTGTGTGGCATGTTTGCCCTAAATATGAAAAGACAAAACTAATAGAAACTAGATCAGCATTAAATAGCTACTAAAAACAAAAGCAAAAGTGATTTAAAGCATTTTTTTCAATTATTTTGTTTAAAATTATGTCAAAAATACTTCAAAACTATAAAATCATTGATTTTATGAACAAAAAATCTGTTTTTGGAGTCTTAAAAAAATGTTTGAAAATAAAAAATTTTAACCTCTTTTTTCATTTTATTTTTATTTTGTGGTCGACTGATAAAAAAATTGATTTTTTTTTTATTTTTATTTATCCCCCCCGACCCAATTTTTTTTAAAAATGTCCCGTAAAACATTTAATAAAAAAATGTTGGCCTAAATGTCATTTAAACGAGTGCTTGCAGACAGCTAACACGCAGGACATGAGGATAAAATGCTTAAGTAGATATCTAGTGGAAAGCATGTACACCGCTTGGGTACCGGCTTGACAAGCGCTCCACGCAGAGCCAGGAACTCTTCGCGTATTGGTTGGACAGAGCGCAAAATTTATTTTCCGTTTTAATTAAATGTTGATTTTAAAGGGAAAGACAAGGTTAGAATAAAAACTTGATTTCAGAAAATGAATATGAATAATAAATCTGCAAATTTTCTGCCGCCAAATAATAATATTAAACGAATGATAACAAAATTTAAATCGCTAAATCACCGATTTCTACAAATCGGTAAGCGCGGCCATGTTTGTGTATTGGCCGTATAAAAACAGGTGCGCGTGATGTCATTTCCCCACACATCTTTAGATTTATGATAAATCTAGTTGAATCGTAGGGAAATATTAATATAATAAAAGTATTGACCAGACAATTTAATTTTCACATGAGGTGTAGAGGAGATTTTTTTATGGTTCAAAATACGTAACAATATCCAAAAAATAATAAAAAATAAAGAAACAAAAAAAAAATCAACGTCTACCGATCGCACCACTTCAGGCCAGTGATGCCCTATGTTCATTAAAGTCTCATCTTAATGTAATTAAACAATATTTCAGAGATTCAATAAATACACATGTTATTATTTAACAAAGTTTTATTGGCTGCTCAAAAATCTAATTTGCATAATTTATTCACACAATTGCTGGTTCTTACTACTTATGTCTAATACTGTGCATTGTCCATTTTAATTGTTCCTAATTTGCACCAAATTTTCATGTCACACTGTGTACTGACGATTGTTATTGCTCCTTGTATGCCTCTGTGCCGACAGACCTTTTGATCATGCACAATGTTGCCCTGATTGGTTAATCACCCTTGTCAAATATTCTAATGACGAAATAGACATATATTTTTTTACGCTTCATCAGTGAACTGAATGACCTTAGGGTAATTAAGTCAAATTATACTGTAAATTACAGCATGTCATAAAATAGCAACACATTTTTATCATTTTATAATCATTTTAAATATTAATTAGATTTATGATTTTTTGTTTTATTGGATTAAATTTACGGTAGTAGAAATGCGTATCTGTGTGGGAAAGGAATTGGGTAAGTAGATAACGTGGAAAAAAGCTATAGGGAACTGGATAAACCCGAGAATATGCGTTTTTACAGGGGAATGGGCAACCTGTTGCTGTTGGTACCACTTTTGAATGGGTGCCTAAATAACCTAACAGACAGTTTTGTTTTCATACGATATTAGTCTGGCTGCCGATTTTCCTGCGCCATTCTCATTTTTAGCGTCAATGGTTGAAAATCGCGTCCTCAGCAAATCTCTGCATATTGGATTTAGTTGATATTTTACGCTGAAAAAAAAGATACATGACCGGCGATGTACCCTATTCGGACAGCTTGTCTACCAAATAAAAGGATAAATCGTCAATTTGAAGAAGTTTCTCATAGTACCCAAATTAAATTGATGGTTGATCTTTGAAAATTAAGCAGTCATTGCTTAAATCATGTGGTGGGATCATCAGCAAGCTTGAAAATCGGACAAATGATAATTAATGTCGCGGCGTCTTCAATTAATTAATTAAAGCAATTCAGTTCCATATGATGTTTTCATAAATAATATATAATGTACGCAATAAGGTTAATAAGTTCTTCATCAAGATATATTTCAGTTGTACCAGCGTGTACACCTATACCGGAAGTGGGTGTAACACGTCACAATCTCGGTCTCGTCTGTCTCGCGAGAATGACAGAACGCCAAAATGGCGGCGCCCATGAACTTATTTCTCAAGTAAAAAATAGTGTCTTAAAACACGAATTTCTCACTTATAGGATTGATGTCAACAGTAAAACTGTCATGGTTCCTCTTTTTAAATGATGAATATTTATATTAGACAGACATCAATCCATCCATTCCTATTCCTTTAATATTACAAAAAGATGTATAAATGTTTATTCTGATTGCATCAAGGAGATAATTCTATTTTCTATTGATTTACTTCGGAAAAGTAACGGTAAGGTTTATTTAATAATGATTTATAAAGATTTTATTATACAAGGGTAATCGTGTTTACATTTTGGAGTCTGCAATCTTTACTTTATTGAGACTTGATGGTATACGGTATTTTTTTCATATATGTAAAAATTGTTTGAAAACCATTTTTGATTGTTGTAATAGATGGACCATTCATGTTTAAATATTACAATAGTTTTGATAGAGTGTTTACAGAGGCATATCCCGTGGGGGGGGGGCAGGATCTGACCCCCAAGCGTCTGTGGGATAAAGCCACCCCAACTTCCACTAAGTTCCTGCACGAATTAAAATATGTTTCTTAAATAAACTATATATAGTTTATATCACCATTAAACCTGATAATTAATGTTTGCAGTTTTGAAATTCAACCTCTTAAATGTACTCGAAGACGAAAACAATTGTTTTGTTCTGAAAAATCAACTTCAATTTTTTCTTTTTCTGACATTTTCATTTAAACGTCTCTGAATTATTGAGCACTTGCAAAATGATAGTCAAATGCTAGTACTCGCAAACTTTTGCTACGGTACTGCTAAGGGACCACCAAAACCGGACAACCACCAATTAAATAAATTTATTTCAACCTCGTAAATGGTTATATTTAAATGTCTATTTCAAGGATGTTGAAGTTGAAATTTGGGAGTCAAGAAAGCACTGCCTGACGGCTATATCCTGGATTAGACCCCGGGGTCTAAACCAGGAGTATATATTAGGTTCATTCCGTTTTCTTTACTGTATTATATACAAGTTTTACTTCTGAAAAATACATAGGGGTCTTATCCAGGAGATTGCCTGCCTGACCATTATACCAGCTATAATCATTTGCAGAGTAAAAAATTGGCTATCCAAAACTTCAGCATTTGTTGCTGAAATATTGTATATCATGTTAAAAATTAAAAAAATGAAACACCCAAGCTTTTATCAGAATTAAATCAAGTTGTGTTCATATCTGTCCGAACACATGGTACTGTAGTGTAGACAGTTTAAGTAATTTTGATTTGACGAACCTCAGGTGTAAGGGTCAATACAATCAGAAATAAACAAACTAGTTTGTTAGTTAGGGGAAGAACCTAGCGGTACTGTGTCAAATATTTAATTCTCTGAGTTTGAAATTATGAAATCTGTATAGAAAAATGTTCAAAAATGTGTTCGGTTGATGGTCCTCATCCAGTAGCAGACAGTTATGAAGATAAATTGATATATTTATTATTAGTTTAAGTTTGGAAAATTAAATGAAATTTTAATGAAAATGACATATTTTCAAAGGCAATGTAGTATGTACATGTATGACTAAGCATGCTATAATCATATAGAAAAAATGCACTTATATAAGCGTTTTTTTCTCCACTTTGGGAATGGTGACGGTACCAGACTGATTGGGAAAATGCGTTATATTTTACTCTTATTGGGAATTTTTATTATGCATTTTTTCGGCTACAAATAAGATTAGTTATCATGAATAAAGACAGCTAACAGCTTCCACAGTCCAGGTAGAACTATTGAGTGGTTATTTATATGAACATGTTGGATTTTAAATGATGTCGGAGAAATCTCGTGATTTGTGAAAATTTTGAACAGTCATTTTGGGAATTTAAATATTTGAAATTGGGAATTAAATGTCTATGTTTATTTGGAACAGTGCCTTTTTGGGGTAATAGTTATATAAAGAAAAAAACACTGAATATTTGCAAATGGAAAAAAATGTAAATATTCATGCCCTGGGAAGTCCGTGGGTGTTTATCAACTTTATGGGCTTTGCCATGTCTCATTCAGTTACTCATTTCAATCAGTTGCTAGTATGTTTTCAATGGGCCTCTGTCTTTTTAGCTGCAATCTGTTTGGTCATTTGATATTTGTAAAGGCAAATCACTTATGGTCATCACCAGTTTACTGTTAAAATCACTGCAGACTAGGTATATTTCAGCAAGTCAGTGTATTGTTTAATTCAATACAGAAATAGCACCCATACAAACTAAAATGTTAACCTGTCTCGTGAATTTTGAGTTTTTGCATCTGATCAACAAATGAAGCTTAGTGCTTTTCTTCACTTCTAGGAGAATGGTGGTTACTTAAGTTAAATGCCCATGGAGATTGGAAATTTTTGCATCATAGAGAGGAAAATTTAGAAATGAGAAGACAGTCTGTTTTATGTTTAATTGTGACACACCACTGTTACTATAAAGACTTCTCACTTCCTAATACAATGTTGAAACCATTCAAGTTAGTTAACTTTGACATCATGATACATTTACAAAAGTGGTGAGGAGTTTGGTTTAATTATTATTTACCTACTCCTGAAATGGACTTGGGCCTCTTTACAAAGATACATAATTACATGTACTTATCATTGTTATCATTGATACTGTAGTTGACTGATATCTGCTGATAATAAGCATGTGACTGATAATAGGTTTATATACTCACTTTCCAACATTTCATCTGCAGTTCATGTGTTTGATCTGTAAAGATGGCAAATCTCTCTGAAATTTCGGTTTTTGTTATAATCCTTAGTATTTTTGTAACTGTTTGTGTCTGTGACGCACCACCTGTCATGATGTGTCCATCAACTCGGACAGTTAAAAGTGGAATAAACATAGCAGAACTGTATGTGAACACACAAGGGGTGAACAGCACGATAGTTTTACAGTTGATTTCATCAGAATGTTACACATGTGCTTTGCAGAACGTCTCGGTAATACCTGCAGCGAAACAGAATTGCTCTGTGATAGTTGATACAAGATGGCCAGTACGGATGGCGGTTATCAGTGATGACTCTTCTGACAAAATTAACCCAAATTGCTTAGACCTTGGTGCTAGATTTGAGGAAAATGGAAACTATGTGATATATGTTACAAAAAAGAACAATGTCATCACATGTCAGCCTCCACTACGTGTTGGTAGCGATCCAGCTGATAGTAACATTACTATTTATGCTTGTTTTGGAATTTTTACAGGACTAGCATTAGCTTGGATTGGATTTAGTAAATGCAAGCGTAGGTTTATGAGAGTTTTATTTGAAATTCACCCAAGTGCTGTTGACACTGTTACATGCTCAGAGCAAGATCTTGGAATACCGACTAATTCCACCAAGGATCATGGAATCGAGAAAAAAGAAAGACTGAAATCTCTTGACACATTACGAGGCTTATCACTTGTTATAATGATGTTTGTTAATTATGGAGGGGCAGGCTATTGGTTCTTCAGTCATTCTAAATGGAATGGACTTACTGTTGCTGATCTTGTGTTTCCTTGGTTTATATGGATAATGGGAACAGCTATGGCTTATTCATATCTCTCTCTAGCCAAGAAAAAAGAATCAACTGGAAAGATTTTTCTGAAAATTCTTAGAAGATCCATAACCCTATTTGCACTTGGGTTTCTTGTCAGCTCAGGTGGTATAAGAAACTTTAAGAAATGGCGTATAATGGGTGTTCTTCAGCGATTTTCTTTGACCTACTTTATAACTGCTACTGTTCACATGTTTGTAATGAAGGAGTCTAATGTTGGTGCAAACAAAAAATGGAAGGAATTTCGGGACATTGTGAATTATTGGAAGGAATGGATTGTTCAGTTATTGTTTATATTGATACATACCTGTGTCACATTTCTCCTTAAAGTGCCAGGTTGTCCAACTGGTTATCTAGGACCTGGGGGACTTGCTAATGATGGTAATGGTGCTGATGTTAAACTATGTACTGGAGGGGCCGCAGGATATGTGGATAGGTATATTCTTGGAGAAAAACAAGTCTATGGAAGTCCAACTTGTGCTGAAATCTACGAGACAACTGTACCATATGATCCCGAGGGCCTTCTTGGTGTCCTGACATCATGTTTTCTGTGCTTTCTGGGTCTGCAAGCTGGAAAAATTCTTGTTACATTTAAGGGTGTTCAAGAACGAGTCCTGAGATTTTTAATCTGGGCTGTAGTGACAGGTGTAATTTCTGCCATACTTTGTAAAGCAAGTCAAAATGATGGTTGGATTCCAGTGAACAAAAACTTGTGGTCAATTTCATATGTTTTGGCAATGGCATCTATGGCATTTGTGTTACTTACATTTTGCTACCTAACAGTGGATGTATACCAGATATGGAATGGTGCTCCTTTCTATTATCCTGGGATGAATTCTATTGTGGTGTATGTGTGTCATGAAGTATTCAGCACACCATTTCAGTCATTTTGGGATTTACACCCTAGTTCACATGCAATTTTTATGCTTATTAATGTCGTTGATGTCAGCTTTTGGGTGTCATTATCGTTTTATTTATATAACAAGAAAATATTCATATCTGTTTAGATATTTTATCAAATTGAATTTATCTGGATCATTAAATTGATAAAAACTGATACAGACACATGATTTGATGTGTACATAGAATATTAGTGTAGACATTTAACATTCATATACTTGGTTAAATTAATCCTGTATCTTTAATTAAACTTGCAAAATGTATTGTGGCAGTATATGAATAAATGCAAAATCAATATAAAAAGTGCACAGGGCTTCAGACATGTTTATTAAGTAAGCTATGTTGAGAAACTGGCCTCCCCACCTGTAGCAGTTCACCAACATTGCAGGCAACTTTGAATCAAACTGATATATTTTGAAGTGTTTTAACTTGAGACTGTATTAAGTCATGGTTGCAATTTCTTTTCTTGGCATAAAGAGAGAATTGGTTAAATTTTGATAAGGTCTTGATTAGAAAAAAATTGTTAGATTATGTAAATTTTATATGGGAACATTACTGTTTGCTTAATTATGTTGTACTAAACTCTGTATTTTTCTTCAAATAAGGTTTGTTGCATTTTTTTATGTGAATTAACATTTATTCTCAATTATATTGGCATGTTGATCATATATGTATCACTTTATAGACTTGATTTTATCATTTTTGGATACCATCAAAACTGGAATAAAAATATATGAATGTGACATCAGTAGTTTTTTACAGAATTTTAGAAAAATAAGAATTTACATATGGGAAAGAACTGTCCTTTGGCTTCTTTCTTCCTAAACATTACCGAGAGATGCAGTTTTCAGAAAGCTTTCTTTTGTCTCTTGTTTTTTGTTTTGTTTTTTTTTTCTTCAGAAAAGTAGATAAATACATGTATAATGTACAATATATGTTTAAAAATAAAAGGAATCAATTAAGGATATTGTCTCCTTCCTTGGTGTTCAGCATTTGGAGATGCCTCCTTTACTGAAAATAACTTTTTAGTGGAAAATATCTAGTGTAGCCTGATTTTATTGACCCATCAATTATGAATACATTATAGCACTCATTCAAATATTCTCTCCTACTTCAGTTCTGTCCGTATAGTTTACGAGAAGTTATATGGAGCATATAACTTATGTTTGGAAAAGTGGTACTTAGCTTAATGTATTGGCTCTCGTTGCTTTGGTAATCGCACAGTCAATCAAGACTTGGTGATGACCAAACAGAGGTCTATGGTTTGATCCCTACTTTTGCCATTGTTTTTATTTGAAGTATATTTTAATGAAAATGACCATATACTTGCAAAATTGTCTACACGGATATATAAAACAACTTAGAAACACTGATTTGTTTTTAAATGAAATGACATATATTGATATCCGCATGAATTTAAAATATTAATTCTTAAACCATATTGTTTAAAAAAAAGTATAGACTTTCCAAAAATAAGTGCAGAACATATTGAAAACAAAAGAACAACAAAAAAATAATCGTGATGTTGAAAATAGTTATGAATAAGAAGAAAATATGGACATACACGGTCTTGCTCTTACAACACATAGGACAATTAGAAATTATAAACTTGTAGTTTATTTTGCTGTAACGATCAGTAAAACTAGTTCATAGAAACAAATTGAAGTAAACCACATTTTACTGTGTGCATTGACCGTATAATCAGTATGCAATTGATAGGTTAATAAAATGATACAATATATCAATCTGCAAAGCAGGTACAAAATGTTATGCTATTTTTACTATAACTGTTCATGAATAATAAACCAGTGCATGAATTTTTGGTAATTGTAAGACATACTGGGTCTAGTCATCAACTAAATTATTTAGATAAAGAAAAGTTTTTTTCTGTTGCTTGTACTAGATATATACATGTTCTCGGCTAACAAAATCAATGACAATGTTTGTTTAAATGCTAAACAGACTGTTTGTTTATTTCAGAGACTGTCTTGTGACTAACCATCAAACAGGATGGTAAGTGCTTTTTGATTTAATTCTTTCAAAACAAAAGTTATATTTGTTTGTTATTGATGAAAGTGGATGTCATGAAAATTTGAAAAACTTACTTTGCTTTAAACAATTCAGCAGCAATATTTAAATAATCCTAGTACAATTAGTAATTTTTTAGGGAAATCAGTAACAAAGAGTATTTGTTGAGGAAACAGACAAGTACTGATGAGTATTCTCATAAAACATGCAAGTTTAAAGGATGTAAAACTATGACTGGTAAAATATAATATATAAAGAACTAGGAAAATTTAATATATGTTGTTTCCATACTATGGTCATGTCTGGAGAGAAATTTAACTAGTAATGCATGTTTTATACAAGAAAACACATTATCCTTGATTCATCCTGACATTGATTTTAATATCAGTTTATTCCTTTTTAGCCAAGACAGATCCAAGAAATTAAAGACTTCTTGCTCACTGCTAGGAGGAAGGATGCTAAATGTAAGTTGAAACTTAGTTATTACTTTATAACAACAAAACACCTCTTAGTAAAATAACTTCATTTGAAACTGTTGTGAATTCAGTAAATTTCTTGTCTAGGCATATTTGGTTATAGGGAAATAGAGATTGTATTATGCAATTTTATAGGAAATTTGACTATGAAATTTTTGAAAAAGTCTCTCAAGTATGCAGAGTTAATAAAATATTAATTTAATTCCTAGGAAAATCATATTTCATTCTGACAAAAACATTGTTTCAATTTTAAGGAACTGTCATTAGAACTTTTAGCATAAAATAATGTTAACATGTTACAGCTGTAAAGATAAAGAAGAACAAGGACAATGTTAAGTTCAAGGTTCGATGCAGCCGATTCCTATACACACTGGTCATCCAGGACAGAGAAAAGGCCGAAAAACTTAGACAATCTCTTCCTCCAGGTATAGTTTTCTACTGTTTTAAAATAACAACAAAAAAGTTTTATATGAACAACAACTAAAAATAAGCATGCTTTTAAGCATTAAAGTGCAGATTTAAAAATGACAATAGCTTAACACTTTCACAGATATTTTTCGATATTCTGGATAATGCTGATATTATGGTATTGACGTATATATATCGTACAGATACTTAAACTTTACATCAAAGTTCTTTTAAGTTTGGAATAAAAAGAGTTTTTGAGCTCTACAGTATATGGGGAGCTGTCCTACTCGCCCCTGCCTCTGCGTGCAGATTTTCTGTTTCAGTAAAATATTTTTCACTCACTCTGCTTCATTGCTGAAGGGATTATTTTAAAAGTTATTTCATATCATTTGTGACAAAGTTTGTTATTCTAGCAACTTTGTTTTAAGTTGAACATTTTGCATATTACATTAAAGGGACTCAACTGAGGCTTTTTTACATCTCAGATTTGCTCTCTCCAATTTTCAAGAATAATTAATGTAAATGACCCAAAATTGAAAAGTTTTGCATTGCTTTTTACTCTAAGAATAACACAAAACATAAAGTGACAAGTATAAAAAAAAACATTGTGTAGTTTAACTAGATCTCTTTACTACTATAATAATCAGTAATTTTCATTAATGAATTAGACATTTTTCTCAACAGGACTTTATTTATATATACAAAAAATTCTTTATTGTATTAAGTTGGGAATAATACTATATTCAGTACATGTTTATGATGTGATGTACAGAATCATCAGAATGTTTAGTAAATTTCCTATGTAAAAGGAATAGGGGCCTTAAATATTTTGTGGGGGAGGGGCTGTTTATTTATTCACAGCTTTTCCTAAATCCAAATTAGTAATAACATTAAAAAGTGTTTAAGTTTAAAAAGTTTATATGATACATTTTTGTGTAGGAATTTTGTGGTATATTTCCTGTTCTATATTTAAATATCTACATTGTAACTATATGCTGTGCTTACCTTAGCCTAACTTAGATTTATTTTTATATTTTACAGGTCTTGCAGTAAAAGAATTGAAGTAAATGTAAAAAAAGTCTTTAACAAATAAAAAAAATGTAAAAAGCAGACATGTGTTTGTGAAAATTGTTTGACCCCATCTGAACATCAGTGTTATAACCTGTAGACAGTAATAGTCCCTTGTACAGATCAAGGTGTTACTAGTTAGTTAAAATAATAAAAGATCAGTAAAAAGATAAAAATAATGATAGCATTAAACCTAAACCAGAGTAGTACATCGGTACTGTATTAAGCAGTATATGTATTTTGAATTTACTTGAAACAACTGTAAAACAAGTTTGACCTTAACCGTTGTTCAACTTGTAGATGTTGTGAGTTTTGATTACAAGGGAAGCACACTGCCTTAAAAATAACAAGAAATGTTTCAATGAAACCCCCTACAAATCAATTAACCGTCTTTTGCATTTTGTTTGTCCGGAGTGTAACTTTGATAAGAAAAATAGACTAAATGGCTGGTAGGTTTCTGAACCAGTTTTGTTTACCTTCGAGGGTCAGCATTTGTGATGGCAGTGTATTTTCCCACAAATTTAAACATCCCATTCCCGTAAACCAAACTTCACAGGAATAATTTAAAAGTATTCTTGAAACTGAAGTGACCTAGGTTTAAAATTTGTCTTTTATCATTAACTTGCAGTCTCACTACCTCAAGGGGCCGCCCCTTTTCTAGCCCAACAAATTGTGCGCTTTAGGGCTTTTTTATAATATAGACGATGGGCGCCCTTCGATCGGTCTTGCAGTCGAAATATTAAGACTCTTCTAGATTTTCCTTGGTGGTCAAAATTTTTACTGTGTCCCTAGGATCACTTTATTTACACTTGTATATGGAAATAGATACAAGTTTCTTTTGTAAAAATATAATGCCCAGGACTTTGATTTATAGCATGTAGCATAGCTTTGTGGTCCTTTACAATAATGACATAAATCATGACCGTGTATTTCCTGGCCGACAGCTAGAAAATTGTTTAACCCATTGCTGCATGAGCATTTTGTGAAAAATGGTTGTTTTCATTGAAAAGCATTCTGTTACAAGTTCAAATTGCTATGAAACTATAAAAGATGCTTCAATATTCATTAAACTTTGCACAAATGTTGACTGGACTATAGCCTAGGTGGCGCGATAGATCAGTAGGTTAGACCACTGACTGTCACTCCTGAGGTCCCGGGTGCGATCATGGGTAACACCCTTGAGATTTTTCAGAGACACTTTGTTTCCCACCTACCTAGAGGTATACTGGTATGAAACCCAAGTAATCCTTGCATGTATCAGTGCTATACACTGAACATGCAAAAGAACCAAGGGTCTATTCGATAAGAGCCAGGGACTGCTTGTATCTCATAACTGTCTGGAGTCAGCTGTGGAAAGGACCCTACTGGAAATAAGTGCTTTGCACTTTCGTAGGCTACCATTGACCGCCCGGTCTAAAGAAATTCAATTCAAATCAGCCTTTATAACGGCATGCTCAATATTAATTTTCCTTATGCCATGGCAAAATTGCCAAAAATCACTATTTTGCGTTGATTTCAAAGTGCTGCAACTTCTCAATGGATTGAGATAGAGTCGAAGGGGAACATTTTTCAAGAACTTAGCAGAAGGGGGAACATCCCCCCCCCCTGGCACCCCTGATGTATCTTTTTGTTTTGAAAGGGGCGGCGCCGACAACAGTAGTGTTATGTCAAAATGTCGTTTTGGCTTCTCAGAAATGTGTCATATTATGTCAACTAGTCGCACTATTTGGTCAAATTGTGGAGCTGTTTTGTCAAAAGATTGTCTGATTATTTGACACAGTAGTGTTCTCCTGTCAAAATTTGGTGTTGACTTATTTATTTTATCAAACTGCCATGTTATTTGTAAAAATACGGTGTTTAAATGCCTTAACAGTGTCTAATTGTCAAACAACTGTATTAATTTGCCAACGTACACTACTGAATAACAAATATTCGAATTATCTTGCCTAAATGGGATGTTGACTGGGCTAAATCATGCCTTATAATGATAAACTGTGAAAAGCGG